TCGGCCACTCTGCATGTTTGTTTAAACTTCTCTTCTTCTCACATTCTGTTTCACTCTTCCTCTATCCCTCCTCCTCCTCTTTCATGTTGAGCTGTCTTCACTATTAAACTGAGGTATAGTATGCTATCCTTATTGAAAAAAATTAGGTTTCATGTTTAATTGCAAAAGAACACATTGCTTTTCAAAAAATGAATGAAATTAAGTTGCTTTTTACTTGAAAAAACTTAGTTTTTTGTATGTTTGTTTTGCTCTATTATTACTGGGAAAGCCAATGATCCTTAATGCAAGCAGCATCCAGCACCTCTGTGCTATGGTATCTAATGAATTCACTGAGACTTCATCTAGCACAGCAGCCACTATATTTTACTCAGGATGTTCTAACTTAGATTAGCTTTCTTATTCAACAACAGGTGTGGCAGTATTTTCCTAAAATAAAAAAAAAATTAAAAATACATTGGAGGCAAGACCAATTACAGTAGTCTTAGTAAAGAATTAAATACATTCTAATTTAAAATAATGACACAACCCAATAAATGGAAGGAAATTAAGAGCAAAGTAAACCAGTGTGACCTTAACTAAGCCCCTGTGCTCACACAGTGAAACCATATGGTGTGATGAAGTCAGAGACTTGTCTGACACGCTCTATACCCACTTGCAGCTAGACACATGGGTTGAGTTAAGTATGCTGTTTCAGCCTGTACTCATTACTTCTCAACTTTTATTGGCTCATGTCTCCACTTCCATATTATTTTTAATGTTTTTAATTAAATTTCCTTTCTATAATACTAGTGGATAGCAAAAAAAAAAAAAAAAANTTTTTTTAACAAGCATTCAAATCTTCCTTTAATTTAATTCAGTACATCATCAGTCATGTAATGTTACTCCCTAGGATTTAATTTCACATTTTGGGAGATGAATTAATTCTTTCAGGCCACTGGGTTGCAATTTAGCTGGCATATTACAGCTGGAGTATGCTGTGTGAACTTCACAGATCTAAATAACATAACTTTCCATGAAAAATTTATTGACAGAATAAGCTCAACTGTAAAACCCATGTGTCAGAGGTAATTTTGGTAAAATGTAAAACTGACTGATTTTATTAGTTTGGTCCCTGGCAAGAAACCCCTCCTGCCCTCTCTATTCCGTGGAAGGGATGAATTCCCTCCAGTTTGATTTCATCCAGACCACTAAGAGAAGGCTCAGGAAACAATATCTCTTTATCCCCATTGCCCCAAACTGGTGGGCTGTGGTAGCTCTTTCATTTGGGACCCAAACTCACACAATTGAAGGATGGATGTTGTCAAGGATCTGTAGGCTGGGACTAACCAGTTAAACTGCATGAATGAGCAGTGATAAAGGATACTGAAGCCTGCAGCCTTCCAGGACAAGGGGGATAACAACTGCTTCTTGCTCTTCTAATAATCATTTAGGCACCAACACCATCTTCTCGCCCCATTCCTGATCTTCTCACTGCCTCGGCCACTCTGCATGTTTGTTTAAACTTCTCTTCTTCTCACATTCTGTTTCACTCTTCCT